GTGTGTGTGTGTGTGTGTGTGTGTGTGTGTGTGTGTGTGTGTGTGTGTCAGGTTTCTACAGGATTACTGCGCCAAAGGGACCTTCTCTGATTTGGACCTGATAGACAACTTGGGTCCGGCGATGCTCCTCAGCGACAGGCTCACGTTCCTCGGTATGAACAAGGAACACTTGTAGCGCTGCTCAACTTGTGACTCACAAGTGAGAGGACATTCAGTCTCCTGGACAGCTTCCCTTATCGTCACATGAGACTCGGACACAGAGACATGTGTGCACACAGATAAATAACGCTATGTGCTGCTTAATGTGACAGCATGTCACCGCGTGATAAACTGGAAGAACATCAGTGAAACTAGACGAACCAACCTATAGATACAAGTACCTAAAAACGACGCTCTATTTTCATTCCTAGGGAAGTATCGTGAGTTCCACAAGCTGTACGGAGAGAAGCGCTTCAGCGAGGCGGCCAAGCTGCTCCTCTCTTTAATGACGGCCAAGATCGCCCCCCGGAGCTTCTGGATGACTCTGCTGACCGACGCCCTGCCGCTGCTCGAGCAGAAACAGGTCGGACCACCGCGCACAAAACAAAGAACAAAAGAGGAACCGCAATGCTCGCAAAGAAGTTGTTTTGTGGACTGTTTCACCTAAAAGGTTGCTTTGTGTGTCGAATGTTCAGGTGATCTTCTCGGCGGACCAAACCCATGAGCTGATGTTCTGTTTGGAGGAGCTCACCTCCTCGCTGAACGCCTCAGACAAGCCCCCGCAGGTACGCAGCTCCTCAAGCAGCCTCAATCCTGCTCAGCTGCTGATCATTGTGATCACAAAAGTGTTTCATATTTGGTTGTTTATGTAAACTTGGTGCTTCAGTTTGAATGAAGGTAAGTGAAACCAGACATGTTATTAAAGTTTTCCGCTTCAAGGTAAACGAGAGAACAATTCACCCATGATGCATTAGCTTGTAATACACACTCTTCTTCTACAGCTGCAACACTGCCTCAATGTTAAAGACATACATTCCTCCACACTTCTTATGCGAGTGTGTTTGTCCTTTCAGGATGAAGACATAGAGCTGACCAAAGTGGAGCTACTGAGACTCGCCCTGGCGAGGAACCTGGCCATGGCGATCATCAAAGAGGGAACTGTGGAGGCATGAGTGGCGACAGTAAAAAGAAAAGCTCTTCTTTTGCATTTTTGTATTGTATATAAAGTTCAAGTAATCAAAATGTGCCGTTTGATAATAAAACTCTTTTCTGACTCTCAATAAGTGAAATAACGTCAGACATCCGTTGAAAGTATTTATTTGTTTCAGGTAGCGAACACACGGTCATACAATAAAGAATAGCTACATTACACGCTATGTACAGTACACGCCTCGTCTGTGCATCCCATATGACGAGCTGAGGACGACCAGAGGGACCTACGGGAGGATCAGCAGGACTGATTCATGAAACGTTACCCACAGCACAGCCTCACTGCTGAACACACACTTCATCCACCTGGTGACGGACTTCCCTTTAAATTTACATTTTTTTTTCAGTTCACATTTTCTAGGTTCAGTGATGCACTGAAATACTATAACGGAACAGAAAACAATAAATAAGACACAAATACTCCCAACACTGACATCGGTAGAGGAGTAAATCATCTTTAAATATAAAAACAAAAATATGATAACCCACTGCTAACATCACCACTGAAATGGGAACAATCACCTTTCATTTATTCTCAAAAGAAAAAACTAATTCCGTGAAATAAAACCAGAGTTGGACTCAAACATAACGACAGTCATGAATACAAATGAACCACCTTAAGTGCAGTCGGTTTCCTTTACAGCACAAAATTAAATATTGTTGGTCCACTACATATTTGAATAGGATAAATGATAAACAGGTAACCATGTCAAACATCTTGATGTCTGAAATAATCAGTACTTCTCACTAAACGGGATTCATTTCCCAGTTTAGTTTACCATCTTCAGAAATCTACTGGATCCTGTTTTCAAATGTCTGGATATATTCAAATATCTTTTCTGCGGGCTAACAAAGTGCTCAGAGGAACACATTAAATAAAAGCACAGCTGTGGGTATCTTAGGCTCTGCTAACTTTACAGGTTAGCAATTCTGCAATACTGCAATCCATCACGTCCGTCAGGAGCTGAGCTCTGATGCATCGATTATTTATAGCACGTTAAAATCTGTTATATTCATCTTGGGGAAAATCCCTTTTAATATTCATCTTAACACCATCGACCTGTAAACACCACGGCTGTCTTACTTGCCAGTGTATATCTTTAGTTTGTGTGCTGCAGAAAAGTATACAAGCACCGTATAAATACAACTTTAGTTTCTGCTGTTAGCTTCTCACTGCCAGTGATAACAATGGCCAAACAGAAAAATGAACAACTATAAGGAATGTGACGCTGTAAGGTCGAGTGCAGCTGAATCCCTTTCTCTCTGGGATGGATGTGCGCACACACACACACCTTCATGGAGCATGAACCGGTCCCCCACACCTCTATAGCTGACCCCATGTCTCTGGTGGGGGGAACTGGTCGACCTCTCCAACCTCGTTGCACAGACGGTCTCCTAGTGCGAAGGCCAGCTTGAAGCGCAGACGCACCTTCTCCTGTGAGGGCACACACACACACACACACACACACACACACACACAAAAATATCTTTTAGCATTATCAGCATTAAAGCTCTGTGGTGCCTAAATTCTTAGTGTATTTATGTCCTTCAGTGTGATTGTGTCACCTACCTTTGTTGGGTTGGCCAGCAACATGATCTGGGTAATGGAGGCTGGAGGTAGGATGGGGTTAAACGGTGCTAGTTCTGTTCCTGATGGAGGCAGCAGCTTCACCTTCATTGACTGGTGGAGGATGAAAGGAGTCTGTGTATTTATGCCTTCATTAAAGAGGATGAATTTTCTACAAAGTGCTTCCTTGACGAAGGTGGCCGAGGGACAGCAACACAAAGAGTCAAATGAACGCACAGAAAGAGAATGTAACAGTGGAAGGTTTCAGAGGTCTCTACCTTTGGCACGGCAGCTTGCAGTACCACATTGTGAACAAGCAGCGGTGCCGTGTTGAGCATGGACACCACCATTACCAACACGTCGGGCCTGCCGGGGGGACAGTCGGCTGCGAAGTTGAGGAGCATGCGAACGCCGTCCTTATCGTAGGCCGTCATGGGCAGCACTTTACCTGAGGAGGGGACAGGCAGACATTCATCCAAATCATTTGTCCATTAACCAGTCGAGCCCCCGTCGTCCCTGCCCGCTGTCCACTGTTCCTTACTCGGTCTGATGGCCTCCGGAGGGACGTGCACGCTGCTCAGGGAGTCCGTGGCTCTGGCCGGGCTGCCCTGGAGGGGCAGGTGGCAGGGGGACAGAGAGCGGAACAGCGGGCTGCCCGGGGCGGAGCCCAGGCTCTGGGCCGCCTTGGTGTGGGACAGAGCGGGAGAGCCGGGAAACGTTCCCTGGAGGAAAGAAGGCGAGGAGGGAGAGCCACGCCCAGGTACGAGGGGGGGTGCTGCTGCAGGCAACCCAAAGCTGCTACCTCTGGCCGCCATCTGGATGGACAAACTGAAAAATCACATTTGATAGATCACTATGAGACCTTAAAGTACCTTGTACATGAAATAAATCCTGAAACCTGTCAAAATGTCTACAAACAAGGACATAATAAGAGACAGTTGTGTGGGAATGTACAGTGTTTACTCTTACTCAAATAGTTAGAGAGCACTGACAGAGAGGCTGTCGGTGACTGTGTACCTCTTGTGATCTGAAAAGCCCATCATGGCCAGGTCTTGCAGGTCCTGGAGACTGTGTGTGGCAGCAGCTGGTTCAGCTGGAGGCACAGCTGGAGGCACAGCTGGACCTGAACACGCCACACTGCCAAACATATCCACACCTGCAGCTGGAGCCTGCAGAGGAGAAGAGGAGACAACAGGTAACTGACCCTCTCCTGTTGACATGTTAACGAACAAAGCTGCGGTTTGGTTCAACATCCTAGATGTACCTGTAAGGAAGTCCACTGATTGGACAATTCATTCAACCTGGGTTTTGATTGGCTGCTCAGAGGGCTAGGGGGGTCGTTCAGTCCTGGAAGAAGATACAGGCATTCGGATTTTGTTAAGAGAGCCATGAGCCGAGCTTATTACCCAAAATGTCGAAGTGTTCCTTTAGCTCAGTGAGTCCCGATGGGGGATACGCTACCTAGAGACAGCAGCTCATCGTCGAGGAGTGAGAGGGCAGCGGAGGCCTTGTCGAGGGGGGGGTGACTCGGGCTGCTGCTCTGGCTGCCGTGGGAGATGACCAGGCGCTTGGGAGGAGGAGGCAGGACGGGGATGGGAGAAGCCGTGGGATTGGTGGAGACCAGATTTGAGTACTGGAAGGGAGGGGGGGCGGGCTGAGGGGGACTCGGAGTGTCGAGGCCGGCGAGGTCGATCAGCGTGTCTGTGGTCTCTGTCGAGTGAAGAGGACATATGAAGCAATCGCGCTTATTTAACAGAAACGTGAGCAGATCTCTGAGACGTCTCTCACCGCTCTCGCTCTGAGCAGCTGTGGATCGAGGCTGCTCGCTGTCACCATTGATGTTCTGCCCCTCGACAATCTTCTTGTAGGCGTTGATGACCCTGGAGAGGTCATCGCTGGCCTGCAAGATGTCACCTGAGGAGTCAAAGGTTACAGATAGTTTACACAGAGTGGCACGGTCAAGAATGGGCTTTCTTCGGATAAAGAAAATTAGCAAGCAACCAAACCTAAATTGGTGTCGTTGTCCTCCGTCTCGGTGGCCATTTTGAAAGCAGCACGCCTCAGCTTGTCACATCGCTCATAGAGTTCCTGGGAGGAAAACACAAGGGAGGTGCTGTACGGTTAAAATACAGCTGTGGTGTTGGTATTTCAAAAATGCAAACATATAAAATATTTAGATATAAATATAAGAGAGAGCACTCGGAAACTGATCTTTAAGCACAAACTTACGTACTCTTATTGGGTTTACATATCTGCTACTTTTGTATTGTATTCATGTATTCTATTGTATTTCATTATTATTGTGTTGTATTGTGCTGCACATTGCTGTAGAACAGTGCTACATCTGGAAAAGTTGTGTTTTCCCTCTTTAGAGGGAAATATTCCAGTTTCTTCCTTGTAGGTTAAAGATCTGATGCGCGTGCGTGTGTGTGTGTGTGTGTGTGTGTGTGTGTGTGTGTGTGTGAGAGAGAGTACACGGACACACACACCTTAATGATATCCCTGTCTGAGTTGGTGGAGCTGTCTTTGTTGTAGTGGGACAGCATCTCCGTGAGCAGCTTGACATTGATGTTCACCTCCTCCAGCGTGTGGATACGCTTTGTAACCTTATGCACTCGAGCCTCATCCTGTTAAAAACAACAAGGCACGATGTCACTGTGTTACAAACATAGTCACGTCATATACAACAAATATTATATAATGTTAAATATATTCAATCCAACGGTTTCAGCAAGCCTCTTACCTCTTTCACCATGTTTTTGATTAGTCTGTTGGCTTCCTGGAGGTCTTCTGGATTTTTACTCCGGAGAAGCTCAGCAAGCAGCTAAACACACACAAACACACTTACACACCGACCTCCTTCACTAATAAATGGACAGCCCTAGTTTCACCTAGAACAAATGATTCTGCTAAACTTTTGGTGACGATGCCCTTCATTTCCTGGGAATGTAACAAACACAAATTATTCAGAGAGGAGCGTTGTTTTCTTTGCTCGTGTCTTTCCTCCAGTCTCTCACCTTGCCCATGTCCTCGTTGTCAAACACCGGATGTTTCGGTCGAGTCGGAGGAGAGGGAATCAGAGTCCTGTCCAGCGGTAACTCGGGGTCATGCGTCACGAGGCCTGGTGAGGAGAGCGAGGATAATAAGATGTCTAGTCACATGCGTCATGTGACCCGTCTTGTCTGATCTCAACACACCCTGTCTCCTCAGCGTCTGGTAGGCTTCGCCGATCTTGGTTTCATTTGGAAAAGCCACCGTCCAGCTGTACAGCATCTCCACAATCTTCAGCTTCACCTTCTCAGGTGCACTGTCACCCATGTACTGGAAAAACAAGAGCAAAAAAAGAGGCTGGATGGTGGGACACAGTCAGCATACTTTTCAGATACACCTATTTGGAGGCTGCTTACCTTTGGAGACACAACTTTAATCAGCTCGTTCAAAAATCGGTATTTTCCGACTTCATTATGAAACCTTCTCCCGCAGTTCTTCATACATGCCTCCAATACCTGTAGACAACATCGTTAAGATGAAGACAGCTTTGAGAGGGAGTAAAAAAAAAAGGTGCTTGTTGATATTAAGGTGAATCGTTTCTTACTGTCAGAGCCTGAAGAGCTTCCCATTCTTGTGGTGAGTGTATTTTGTGGACGAGCAGAGTCACAGCTATCTGAGGACTGCAACAAGAAATTCCAGATGAGAGACTTTTTTTCTTTTCTTCTGGAGGTGACTAAAGAAAGATAATCACAGACATACCCTTCCAGCTCCTTGTTGATCTGATCACAGAAGCCCATGATGTACTCCCAGTCCTCCTGTCTGTTTGTCGGATGGGTGGCTTTATCTGTCAGAGAGACATTTACACTAACTTACAGTAACTGGTGTGTTTGAGGAGCACTATGCATCCACAACAACACATCCTATTGTGATCAAACGTTACAACGCAGCAATTGTCATCCTTGTAATTACTGATAGAGTGCTCATTGTATTGGCAGTGCTGCTCATGGCTGTCCAACAAAACAGCTGCAAGTATTAAACTGAGCTGAGGGTCAACTATCTTCTGTAAACAATCACTGCACAGTGCACACACACTAAGCTGTCATTGATAAACGTGCCCCATTGCAGTGTGAATTAAGGCTCTCCACCCATCCTGCCAGTGATGCAGACTGTGAACCAGCAGGACCCTCTCTATCGGCTCCCTCCAGCAAGCTGGGAAGCGGCTATCAGCGCGTGCTAACAGCTTCCTTACTCACAGATGTACCGTTACTGCTTCGTATCCAGCTAATTACCCACACTATTTAATTCATAAAATGAGATTAATCACTCACTGAGCCAGGATTCAAGCGACTCCCCTTCCTGGTACGCCATAGCACTAACAACATCGCGTGATGTCACCACCGGCGTGTGCGCGAGAGTCCGACAATATTGATCAGAATTATTAAAAAAACAAAAACAAACAGTGTGAACCGTTGTAAAAAAATAAATCACATTGGTGTACAATTTTAAATCTGCCGAATGAAACTGATTTTGAATTCGACTTTTTTTTCTGAAGGCATCTGCAGGAGGTACTAAGCTGGGGTCCTACCTGACACTCACATTTTCAAGATGGCTGCTTCCATCTCAGGATTATTAAAACCTTGGACACCAAGGTAATTATCATTTTATAAAGACACAAACACATTAACAGGTTGTATTAGCTGTCAATTTGATATTACTGTGCTTTGAGCGCAATTTTATTGTAATTCAGGAACGAAACGATGTAAATGATGTGATTACTCTGTTTACATATCTGCCAACACGAACGTTAAATAGCAAGTCTGCGATAAACTATCTTCATTATTACGCTTGCTTCCTCTGTCCTATAAAATAGATTTAGTTAGTTTATTGTTTTTCAATGCTCTTAATGATTTGGCAATCTCACACATAGCAGAGCGTCTGTCACACGACACTGCATACTACTACACAGACGTTAGACTATCAACGGTCAACAGAATAATTAACACTATAGTGTCTAAAATAATTACATAATTTTTTGTTAATTTAATAGTCTAATCTATAAAATGTTTCAAAACGGCGAGATACTGACGGGACGTCATCAACTGTGCGCGACCAATAATAAAACCTAAAATTCAAATGAATGCCCCCAATATTCCTCAATCACTGAATACGCTGTCACTTAAAGATCACTGCTCAATTGTTGCTGATTAATGTTCTGTAGATCGACTAATCGAGACAGATAATTTTAAAGATCTCCTGTCCTCACACACAAACTCTTGGAGTAACTTGTGAAACTCTCTCGCGTGTCCTTTGTTGGCAGAGTGTTCCTGGTGAGGTGGAGCAGATACAACCCGTACTATCTGGAGCCGGAGGTCAGGAAGGAGGCCTACAGCACCCCGGAGACGGAGCTGAGTGCCGAGGAGAAGGAGCAGCAGGAGCTCAAAGCGCTCCGACCCATCAAGGCAGCAACCAGCGGAGCCACCAGCTCTGTGTTCAGCGACGTGGTCCTCAGGTACAACAGACAGACACGCCCCAGCTCTCTGCAGCAGGAGGTCAAGTCTTCAGTCAAAGCTCTGAGACTTCATGTCAGGCGATAAAGGTTTTCTCTTTGCTTTTCAGTAAATTCATCAACATGATGATGACGGATGGAAACAAGGTTCTGGCCAGAGAGATCATGACGGACGTAAGGAAGCAAACAGTCTCAAAGTGGAGCTCAAAGATTTGCTGTGTGTCTAAATCTCTCTCTCTCTCTGCTTCCAGACCCTGGAGAGCATGAAGAGGAAACAGGTGGAGAAATACCACAAAACTCCAGAAGGGAAGAAGGAGGAGATCGAGTGTAACCCCTATGCCATTTTCCACCAGGCTCTGGAGAACTGCAAGCCTGTCGTTGGACTGGCCAGCATACAGAAAGGAGGAAAGTACTACCAGGTGAGTGATGAGGCAGATCAACAATTGTTGGATGTGAAAGAAATAAACATAAAGTCTAATTATATTCTGTTTCGGCCCCCCCAGGTGCCCATCCCTCTGTCGGACAACCGACGTCGCTTCCTCGCCATGAAGTGGATGATCTCAGAGTGCAGGGACAACAAGCATCGACGCATGCACATGTACGAGAAGCTTTCCCAGGAACTGCTGGCGGCATCCGTGAACGAGGGCAACGTCATCAAGAAGAAGTTTGAGCTGCACAAGATGGCCGAAGCCAACCGAGCCTACGCTCACTACCGCTGGTGGTAGAGAGAGAGAGAGAGAGAAACCCCTCGGGACTGAAATACAGACATTCAGGGACCCATTCTGCCACTCGGAACGCTTCTGTGAATAACGAACACCGTGAAAACCCTTTTGTTGGAAGGACTACGCTGTAAAAAGTGAGCTGGACTACTGCATCGTGTACAATATACAGACGGCGCTCAACTGTACTGTTAATAAACACACAATTAAGGAAAAACTTCCAAGATTTATTAGAACAAATACATTTGCGTTAAATGTACAGCCCAACCATAAAAAATGGAATTGAGAAATGTAAAAGTGTAATAAAATATATGAACAGATGCTGCAGTCAGCACTGCGTCCCGTCACCAACTCTTCAGGATCACTTTCATATGTCGTTGAACTTATCGTGTTTGTTTTATCAACTTGGTCTGAAGGAGGTGAAAAAAAAAACCTTAAACTGAAATCCTCAAACTAGAAGAACATATTTGGGGAAATATAATACAACATTTCCTAAATCCTGACCATGGCTGGGCTTTTAATTAAACTATTTTCCAACACTGAGGTTGATCTGTCCGCCAATTTTATATTAACCCTTACTTATTTACATATAATTACAGGAACAGCTTTTCAAAACAATGCCATTTCAAAGAGATGCAACATTTCTACCACATGACATTCGTCTGCTTGTGTCTGAATCAAAAGGCACAGCTCTGGTTAAAGACTGCGAAGCCGTGAGTGAGAGTCACACAGCAGACTGAGCTCAGCTACATACGGTGGAGTAACCAGGAACAGGACTTCTGCTGGTTTATAACTGACCTGCGTACACGTGAACATAAACATTCCTCCAGCAGTGGTGAGAGCAACTAAGCACATTTACTTAAAAGCAATCGAGGTAAATATTGTACTTTCATTTATTTGATAACTTTAGTTCCTAGATATTTTTCTGATTAATAATACGAGATGAGTACTTTACTTTTGGTTACTGTGGTATTGCTACTTTTATTTCAGTAAATTAAACTACAAATTAAGAGCTTCGTCAAGAAGTGTTGCACGACGCTTTTCTTGTTATATTGGCACGAGTTGTTTAACAAATCAAGTTTGTGAATCCAGAAATTTGTTAAATATCTGATTGATTTATCTGTAGAAACAATTTAAAATATGAACGGTCACTAAGCTCTTGGTCTTTAGTGTATTAGTCGAGCTGTAACAAAGAATTAAATAAAAGAAGGTCCCTGAATGAAGACGCTTTATCTAATTAAAACAGTAACTCAGGAATCCTACAGGACCAATGAGGGAGAAAAGTCCTCTGAACAGCAATTCAAACCTTTTGTAAAATGTCAATTCCACACACAAATATTGATTATCAATTAAATTTAGTCACACAACAAAAAAAAGCAAAGCAAAGACCAGCTTGTCTCTTACTGGAATGTCTGTTCCAAGTCCTGTGAATTTGGTAAAAATTAAGTTGGACTTTGAAAAACTTCTTTAAAACAGGAATGCCTGCAAGATCAATAAAAAAAAAAAATAAAAAAAAAAAAAACTTAAAAAATATCCTCGGCTTCTTCAAAATAAAGTGTACCTGAATGTGGCTAAACCTCGTTAACGTAACTTTGTGAACTATATTGCACATTCCACATCCACGGCACCAAGTCTCGGAAATATTATCAAACAGCCAAATCAAAAAGTCTATTTACAGTTTTATGAACCGCCGTCTTCTCAAAACCCCTCCGCTGGTTTCCTGGAGGATGTCGATGTCCTTCAGAAATGTTGCTGGTTTTTAATAATTAGAGGCTGCTCAGCACCCTTTGTCCACGCAAAACAATCCTAGTCGGCAATCTCACTGTAGTAGTACTTGTGGGCGGTGCTGCTGAGCACCCAGCCTCCGGCCCTGAACTCCAGGACCTCCAGCAGCAGCAGACGGGTCATAGAGGTCAGGCCCTCCTGCAGCAGGAAGCCGTCCCGCAGCAGGAAGAACAGCTGGTCCATCCGCGGGCCGTTCACCTTCTCCAGCTGCTCTCCGATGCGATGCAGCTGCACCACCAGGCAGTCCACCTGCAGAGGAGGAGGGGGGGACGTTAGGGACTTATAAACATGACATTACGGTTACATTAAAGTAAGGAAATGGCCTCAGACACGGCCGAAAACGTTTGTGAATAAAGCATGGTGGTCTAGAGGAGAGCTGTGCAAGGTGTTTTGATTTTGATGGATTTGCATTGAAGGTCACACTGGTCTGCACCTCGTTTTATGTGGTTTCTCAAAGTTAAACATGAGTATTATTGCTACCATGGCCTGTGACTCAAGATATGTAATAGGAAATCAGAATTGCTCCTAAATACTTCTGCTACAATGTCACAAACTTGCTCCGGGAATGTGACAAGGAGGGAGTCCATGCAAGGTTAAACTTAAAAACACAATTTATGTGACTACGGGTAGCTCAAATTAAACAATGGGTTGTAGATCAACAATGCAAGCTGTGTGTGTGTGCTGTGGAGGTGATGAAGGTGCAAAAGACAACGAGGCAGAGTGAATATCAGCCTTCATAGCTTCAGGCTCCAGGTGAGTCTAATCAAGCTAACGACCCTCTCTGCTGCCTGCTGAGGAGGAACAGGACTCTTCAAAGACACCGGGAGGCAACATTAACGTTCTCATGTCAGCCAACTGCCTGCTGAGGTGGACCAGGACCGCCTCCAAGACACTGGGAGGGGTGCGAAAAACTATTTCCACACATGCAGGATATCTACCACTGTTGACTAATAAAATGAATATAAACAAAAAAAAAAACATTCTTCCTCACCTCCTCTTCATTCATTAGAGCATCTGGTTGGGCCAGCCTGAGCAAACAGTCATACACAGGATGGACCAGAGCCACCATCGGCATGTTGTTCACCTAAACGTCAACAAAAAAAACATACATAGTACTCAAAGTTTAAAAGACTAACACTTTATAATATATGCAGCGGTGTTGTTGTCCGTAGTTTAATTTCTCTTTCACACAAAGTGAAAAATGAGCACTGAGCCACTATTGAGAGAGTTGACCTGTTCAAAACAACAATGGCCGTTATCAAGGATGAAACCTGAGTCACTGTGAAAGTGAACTGGGGCCACACCTTCATATTTAACCCTTCTATTACCACACTTACAAACAAGATGTTCAAGATGCTGCAGCAACAAGAGAGGCACATGTGAGGTGTTTTACATCTGAACACAAGATGTGATCAAAGACATCACAGGCTGACAGCTAAAAGACATTCTACAGATGCTCTGATCCAGAGATATTCAACAATGTCGCTCCGTATTGTTGATTAAGCCCACATGATAACATGATCAAGTTTAAACATATCTTAAGGGGAAGCAGCAGTAACTCACTTTGAGGTAGTCGAAGACGTTACAGATGAACGTGACGTAGCACACCCACTCCTGCAGCGAGCGCCCTCTCGTCTCCTCGCGCTTCTTGAACTCCTGCTGGAGGCGGTTCAACACGTTCCTCCTGAACACGATCCCGTTGCTCTGCTTGGCCTCGGTCTGCAGCGAGGTGACCAAGATAGAAGGTGGAGGTATGAACAAAAAGTCAGGAAACGCAGCGATGTAAGGTAAGCTGGCTTAAGAGCCTCCTGTTGCTCCAGTGTAAACTACCAGTTAGGCATTAATAAGGGAAGAGGATTAAGAATTTGGTTAAGAGACTTAATAAGATGTTTAAGTTCTGCTCTGGTTTCTTAGATCCCTCTTGTCTCAATGGTGCTCAGTGTCTTGATCAAAGAAACTAATGTGGACAACAAATACTGGTAAATGGACAACCAGCCCGTCAAACTGTGTAGAGGCAGATGTAGCAGCAAAACCAGTATGGACCTGCACGATGGTGTAGCAGATGCGTCCAGCCTCTTTGCTGAAAACCTGGTCCTTTAAAGACTGATCCACGATGATATCGGACACTTTCTCCAGGTTCACTGAACTCGGATCTGAAAGAAACGAAACTGCATTTACAAAAATGTGTATCATTCACACAGAGGATGCTGCAGGAAACTGACATTGTAATAAGTCAGTAATAAGAGGGACACACAAACCTTTCAAGGCTCTTTTCAGTAACATCTGTGTGTCCAGGTCAAAAGACTGGATCCTGTAGTCATCAGCAGTGTTTTCCATCACAGACGGTAGCACCCAAAATACACCAGAGAGCGGTCACGCTGGAAAGATCAGATAATACTTATTTACTGCTTTTTTAGATTTAACTGGTATTTTAAAACGAAATGTAAACACACACATTGAGGGTCTGCCTCAAGCCTGGGCTAGAAACACATTAACGTTAGAGACAGAGACAGCAGAACAACTTCTGGAGCAACAATAACAAAATCCTGTGCTGTCATCAAACTGCCCACAGCTCATTCAGTGAGGGATTACATGGGCCGACGAGGGTCACATGTCACCCAATACCCCAAATCAACAGATTCAATTCAAGCACATAACGTTTGTATTCCTTTAAATTGGGAGGTATTTATACCGTTAGCGAGATGTAACTTACGCTAACGTTACTCCTAATGTCTGGCTAACGTTACACGTGATGTTAGCTAACCTAATTCACACAGAATTATCTAAGGTTAGCTTAAGTGCTTCTCCTCAATTGCAGAAACCAAAACGTTTAATGTTGAGAGTTAGCGTCAAGTTTGATGTCTAACGTACATTTTGTTACGTTACAACCGCCAAAAGAAAGAAACGGAGTAACGTTATCTAACGTTACATGTAGAGTTAACAGAGTTACTCACGTTTTGATAATAACAATGCGAAAAATTACCTAAAATTGACTCCACTTCTTTACACCGAAGCTGGTCATCCAACTCGGGTGGATATAAAGCAGACGTTAGCCTTTCAAAGCTGAAGTATCGCGGCAAGATGAGTCCCTGCCTCTCTTCAAAAATAACGTAACGACGAACGAAAAGAGAGCTACTTACGTCTGTGTCCAGCGTAAAGTCCCGATTCTCGTAGTCACAACGCTTATCTATACTTCTGCCGAATTTTATATTTTTTATTTTTAATGTAATCACCAGAAATGCTATTTGGGTAATCCCAGAGCCGTATCAAGAGATGAGCCATGAGCAAAAAATATCCGTTTTGAGTGAACGGAGATGACGTGACTCTCGTTAAACGGCTCTGGGTAATCCTACGCATCCATGAGGTAATCATGCTCTTATCACCACCAGTGTACAGCGATCTCTAGTGGCCATAGGACGTAGTTACAACACGTTGACTTTTTAAATGTTATGTTGGTTGAAAGTGTACACAGGAAGATTCAATACTGTATTAAACATGAATTGTGATTACATTTCAACACTAAATAAATTACATTAAATAAGATATAACAAGTTCATACAAAAACAAAAATGATTGAAGAAAAGACTTTCTAGGGCTAGGCACAACAGTTGCGTTGATTTGTAAGGTTTAGTTACTTCATACTCTGCAGGTTACAAGTAAATACAATTTCAGCTGTTGTATTTATAAATGGCATGCATACTGCTGAGTGTTTTTGTGAATAAAAACAGGAATTAACTGCAGTATTTAAACTTTTACTTGACTTTTTACTATGCCTAATTGTTTTACCTATGCTTTAATAAGCATTTAGCATTTACATATGCCATTGACTATTATGCAGCATTGCATAGTCATATCATCTATATTCAAACTAAAAGCATAGCTTCACATTAGCAATGCTACATCAATTGCTCCGTATTTATAGGACTTAATATGGATGTTAACAAATATTTTACGCCTGTGTTCTTGACTGTCGTGTTATTTCCGGTGTGTTGAAGCGAGGCAGGGATTCATCTTGTTGCGATATTTCGTCTTTGAAAGGCGGAGTACGGTGGCCTATCTCACCCGGAAGTAATGCGGACAAATCGTGACATGCAGCACCACGCTTATGAGTAGCAAGCTGTCTTGTCCTATTATTGTTGGACTGGACGTGTTGGGCTCAGTACTGCAGCTGTAGTTTAATGTATGAAGGACTTTAACTAGAAGGTCAGTGTCTACAGCTCAAAGGCATCAGCTGCTCTGTTGTTGTTAGCTTAGCTAGCCCCAAGGTCCCACTGCATGTCCTCTAGTTACATGTTGAAAGTTATTTTCTCTAGATGTTGATGCTTCTGCAGTAGTTTAGGATTGACGACAGGTTGTAAAAATGCCCATCGAGGAAGATGTGCCACAAACCTCTGCAGACTCAATAATACAAGTTAATGAATGACGTTGTTAAAGGTGTGTTTGTGCATAATTAAGTCACATTTAAAAAAAAAAAAAAAAAAAGCAGGACTTTTACTTGTAAAGGAGTACTTTTACACTGTGTTATGTATACTTTTTACTTAAGTAAAGGACACCAAAATATTTCAGGGTTTTGTCAAGTAATTTTAATGGCTCACACATCCTGAATCTACCAGCTTCATAATCCATTTTAAACATTACAAAAAACAAATACCGCGTTCCATCATTTCTCTCTGCAGTGTTAACGAGCATCTGTTCCTGTGGAGACATGGTGGGCTTTGACCCCGGGGCTCAGGGTGCAGCCCTCTGCCCAGAGGAGGCCGCCCTGGCCGGGTCAGCTGCTGGGATGGTCACCCGGGCGATCATCAGCCCCTTTGATGTGATCAAAATCAGATTTCAGGTAATCATGTGTGGGACTACTTTCTGTGTGCGGTCGTCGGGACTCACGATAGAGCTCAGTGTCGTATTTCATCAGCTGGACTCTCATGGGTAATAGTGCTGTTTGCTTCCTGTATGTTCATCCCTATTTCTTTCCCCCCACAGCTGCAGATTGAGCGCGTGTCTTCACGGAGGCCCGAGGGAAAGTACCGGGGATTATTTCAGGCATCCCGGTGCATTTACTCAGAGGAGGGACTCTCTGCTTTCTGGAAGGGCCACGTCCCCGCACAGCTCCTCTCCATCTGCTTCGGGGCTGTCCAGGTATTAGCGCCTGTGGCCTTTTTCAAACCAACCTGACAACACGATCAGCTCTATTTACATGTTTTAAATAACTGTGTGCGCGTGCTTTTGCAGTTTGCCAGTTTTCAGTTTCTGACGGAGGCGGTCCACAAGTCGACACAGTACGACAGCCAGACGGCAGGAGTTCACTTCGTGTGTGGCGGCTTGGCTGCGTGCTCGGCTACTGTGGTCTGCCAGCCTCTGGACACTCTGAGGACACGCTTTGCAGCTCAGGGAGAAACCAAGGTGGAGAGATTTTAATAGTAGTCAAGAGTTTCTCACGTCATAGTTTTGATTTTATTGGATAGACTCTGTTCGGACTGAAATTCAAGACACTGGGAATTTTGCTTTCTCCTTTGAATGTATTTAAAACATCTGAAGTTGAATCTACAAAAGTCTTGAATATCCTCTCTTGCCTGCTAGCTACAGTAGCCAGCTCATTGAATGATATTGCTATAGTTGGCTAACTTTGGCCAGTATTTAACTTCATGAACCCCAAACCCTGTGTAACGCTTCTTCTTTCCTCTCAGGTGTACAGGAACCTGCGTCACGCCGTGTCCACGATGTGCCGCTCGGAGGGACCGCTGACATTTTACCGCGGCCTGTGTCCAACGCTGCTGGCGGTGTTTCCTTACGCTGGGCTGCAGTTCTTCTTCTACAATGTCTTCAAGAAACTGTTTGCTCCACTGCCCAAAGAAACGGGAAACTCAAGAGGTCAGTGGAGATGGTGGCATTTATATCACCGCATAAAGCGTGTGAAGGGTTCACGGCTTGACGTTTTGTCTCTTCCTATGTCCCCCATTCAAGGCCACCTGAGAAGCCTGGTCTCTGGCAGTGGAGCTGGAATGATCAGCAAAACAATCACATACCCCTTTGACCTCTTCAAGAAGAGACTGCAGGTGGGCGGCTTCGAGGCAGCCAGAGCTCAGTTTGGACAGGTAAGCTCCTCCGCAACGTGTTTCACATACCCGGAGCACGTCTACGTCTGATGTGTAAGCATCGTGTCCGGTTTCTTTTGTGTGCAGGTGCGGACTTACAGAGGCCTGGTGGACTGCATGGTTCAAATAGCCAAAGAGGAGGGCGTCCGAGGCTTCTACAAAGGCCTCTCGCCCAGCCTTGTGAAGGCGGCGTTGTCAACGGGCTTCACCTTCTTTTGGTACGAGGTGTTCCTCAATGCCATGCGGGACCTCAAGGAGAGACGGAGAACAAACTACCTCACCAAAGATCTAGAGGAAAGATAGTGAAGGGGAAAAAAAAAAAAAGTAACAAAGGCACAATCGCGCACATCGGAAATAGACCCTTCTTCTTTCTTTGCACTTAACACATTTCATCAACTATGTTCGGTGGAGGTTTTCGTTGTGTTTACATGTAAGGATGTGAGCACATAACCTAATTTTTTTTGTTTCTGTGCTGTCGTTGCGCCTTGTGTTGTATAAGCAGTGGGTTTTGTTTGTATGTATTTCATATTATCGGGGTGTTTGATAGGTATGGATGCTTGCTGTTAAAAGATAAATGTCAGGACAGTTTATGGTCAAGCAGAGCTTTGCACATTTTACGCTCCGACTTATTCTTCACTTTGCCAACGTTGACTCAACTTTTCTTGACATTTCTTCATCATCTTCCAGATGAACGACTTCACCTGGAAGATGATTATTCAGCAAAACTCATGTAATATTTATTTTGTTTTGTACTGTGGTGGAAAGAACGGCATCCTGTCGACTAGGAGAAATCCACTGCTTATTAAGAGTTTAGTGTTAGTTTGTTCTAAGTTAAACTCTGTAACGTGTCTGTGCCCACACACGTCTATCCAACGTCTATCTATTTTTTTTTAAATAAGTTTTTTGTAATACCTGAGTTGTGTGCGTGGTCTGTTGTAAAGAGGATGGATAAATGTTTACAAAACACTGACAGGCGTGTGTATTAAAAAGTATTGCAGTAGCATTAAATTAGGTAAAAGTGCATTATGACTTGTTTCGGACCCAAAGTTAAGGACTTGTTGGAGGAGAACCGCACACACACGTTTACTCATTTAATTTAAGCCAAATGTCTCAACATGCGTCTTCAGAGGCCAAACAAGAATACTTAGTTGCAAACCACTTTTTATACATTTTCAAACACAAGGCAGATAATCACATCACTGGTAATCAAGTCAACATATGTATCACCTGTGTTGCCTTGCCTCCTCTATATGCGTTGCATGTTATGGCGCCATCTTGTGCTTAAATAACAAAACAAAGTTCAAATTTTATTTCCAACAAATTATTCCAAAACTAAATAATAGCAGTTGTACTTAACATATAAGGAAACATCTAAGTCAAGCTCCTCATTCAGTCCATGTGGAGATGTTTTTATATTATTTATCCAAAATGCTTCGTGTTTAAGGAGAAATACATCCAGATTGTTTATTGAAATAAGCTTTCTCAATGCCTTGTGTGGCTGTGCCCTAAACAAACCATTAGATCTCTGAATGTTGCTTTTAGGAATCAAGGCTTCTCACACAATTATGGATACATCAGGATTGAATTTTAATTAAATTTACTGAATACAAAACCCATCAACAGTATGACAAAAAGTTAATACATTTTAAAATGAATAAAGATGCAAAACAACATGCAAACCACATGACTGGTCTGTAAAAACTCAGTTAAAACACAACATCAAGTGTGAGACCAAGCTAATAAAAACAGAACATTTAATATTCAGTGTCTGCAGCTAAAATCATGCAATTACATATAAGTCATTTACAGACGTCGTAGCTGACAGAACTCACTATAATAAACACTTAAAGAAGATAGAGTCCTGAATACAATTTCATAGCAGCATCGTCACTTGATATGATATTCTTTTTGAAGTACTGACAATTTACCGGTTAGATATAGATCATACAATATATACAAGAATACACAATCACCTTACACCCGACTGTGAAAACCATAACACTCAACTGATACAGTGGCCAACGAGGATCTGTCGTAAAGTCTCAACCACATAAATAGATACGTCAAACCACAAGGTCCAGTTAACAAAGCCAGAGACTCCGATGCCTAACGCAGAAAAAACAAATTCTGTACATGTAACGATTATGTGCAGTGACTGAACCTCCAAATACCCTGTCAAGACACAAAAAAGCAAGGTGATAATCTGTGGGAGAAAAACATTTTCAGGAATGTAAACTAAAAGAAGAATGAGGAGCCTCCAGCTGCTTTTGTTCGCACTATAGGACGCACTATACCTTTACACCTCACAGGACTGTTTGCTATGGAGATCAGGCTGCCTGTCTGAACCTGTTGGCTTTTGCTGTAACACCGGCGAGTGTGCCGAGGGGGCTTGGATCACCAGGACAGTGAAAAGTCTCCTTCACTTCAGCTGGCTTGAGGGGGGGCATTGAGGGATGTGCTGGGCAGGCATCCTCCACTGATCCACAGGTCAAAGGCGTTCACCAGTGGCGCAGCCCTGCTCTCACTCTGGCTGCGGACTGGAGTTCCAGGAGAAAAAGTTGGGCAGTTTGAAGAGGGAATCCCTCCGGCCCGGATCCGGCAGGGTCAAGGTCTCCGGAGCGGACTTCTTCCTGGGGCGCTCCTTCGGCACCGACAGGAACTCGGGGGCTTCTGTGGAGAGGGGAGTGGTCGGGGCGCTGCTGGGGCCGCTGCGGGCGCTGGATGACAGGGGGGTCTCTGAGATGGAGATGGCGGGGGGGAAGGTGCCGATCTTCAGGTTGGTGGCTTCTTGTGTGGCACGCTCGTACTCTCTGACCTCCTCCATGGTCATGTCTGTGGGGATGGATTACACACTTCAAAAGAGTGATAGGACTTCATTCTACAGAAGGCAGGGACACTTTGTCCGGGGTCTTGTGATTAACATAGGAAAAAAGTCAGGGAAATGAAATGGACGTTGGCCGTGGATATACATTACTAACAGTCCAATTATTGTTGTGTCAGTTCTATGTAAAGTAATGAGAAAAGGACGACTGACAGTAATAGACTATCACTTATGATAAGTTGCCTGTTTCGCGGCAGTTTAAAAGCAAATTAAATAATAATGGCTCAGATGATCTCTCAGAGGAGGCGTGAAATGAATCATGAAATAGTGGAGATGAAGAGAGAGAGCACGCAGTTGAAAACAATGAACCTTTCAATGAAAATGAAAAACTCAAATCAAACTAGACAGCCTCATTCATTTAGAAGATGAGCCACTGTCATGAAATACAAATAAAAGGTAACAATACCAAAAACAACATGATTCAGCTATGAGTGTAGTGACAGCAACAGGAACCAGTCCAAACAAATGTAATTCTAAAGATGTAGGCTTGAAGCATCATGTATTCACTTCTGCTTTGCCTTTAGAGTGACGACAGTGCTCACAGGGTTTCTGACATAAAGACATATACTGTAAATGACACCACCATGTTCTTATCTTTGTTGGATTAAATGCTAAACAACAGCATATAAATGATATAGTTATCTATCCATTCAGAGAGATTGTCATCTTTATAAACAAGAGAATACTACAGTATACACTGTGTCTAAATAATGTATAAATAACATTGGTAGCTATGAAACACATGACCCTTAAAAGATATATTTGCATTAGCTGTCATCAGTTTTATACTTTCTTTGAGGTATACTTTGAATTTGACCCATACAGATTGGGCTAAAACGGTAAGTAAACTTTATTCCACTCGCTGATTTCTGATTTGTTCTGCATTATCCAACTACAATCGTGAGATGAGTCAGTGTCTACACACAAAGCTAACCCATGTTTCACCAGCGCTGCCGTCTCCAACAAACTTACCGATCCACTCATCCACCCAGGCAAAGGCCTGCCTGTGTCCTAAAAGCAGGACATCTCGAATCACCTGAGCAGAATAAGAAAAAGAGAGAGAGAGAGAGAGAGAGAGAGAGAGAGAGAGAGGAAGAGGAAGCAGGAAGAGGTGCAAGATCACAGAGGAAGAAAGATAAAGAGGGGCAGAGGGAGTTCAAGGAGAGAGGAAGTGAATCACAACGCGTTAACTTTGAAGGCCGTTAATGTTTCAAAAACATTTTCTTGTTCTGAATGTTTCCGTTCACCCCTTGGGGTATGTGATTAATATGAGTCACTCCCGGTGTTACCATGTGAGTAATGGCCCTGACGCTGTGTGTGTGTGTGTGTGTGTGTGTGTGTGCGTGTGCCTCGGGCAAGGAGAGCACAGAGACGGTTCAACCCAGGGACTGATGCTGTAGAGGGCCAGGTGAAATGTATTTGGGAAATAGGAGATATGGAGTTTAAACTGTGCAGCCGAGGCAAAGGGAGGTGGTGCAAGGTAATCTGCAGGTTGTGAACAGGGCAGATATTGTAGAAGGTGAAAATGGAGCATCTGATTTCGTTTCACGGCCAACTGGTGGTGTGCCGCATGTTTTCAGAGCAGAAAAAGTAACGTCTGAAGCATTGACATTGATCAACAAGGATCAAACAGTTTGACTGAGTTATGAAATGGTATTTCTGAGAGGAAAGAACCTGTTTTCATCCCGACCTTGTGTACAAACTGCTCCACACGTGTTTGCAGGCCCCACACTTCAAACTTGACTGAGACCAGCTTGTAGGAGCACATGATGGGCTCTTGGTTGTTGATCCATCCTTCCTCCAGGAGGCCTCGGTTAGTCTTCTTCGACTTAAAATAATGCAGATCCTGCAAGGCCATGAGACACCAGTTTAGAGAAAAGGTAAGACCAAAAATCCTCTTTTAGGATCTGTTTTTCAACCTGTTATTAAAATGCTGTTTGCCATCATTTATCTCTCTCACACACACATTTCCTCCTCCCTGCCTAAAGGACATGATCATGCATCCATTATGTGTGAGATTCCCGACTCACAAACTTAGCGTGCATTAATCACTGCTCCCTATAGACTAATTATGCTGTCATGCTTATTTGTCTTGGGGTAATGTGTCTGACTGTGACAGTCTGCGGGGGTGTTACAAAACTCTCTCCAGCCCTGCTGGGAAAACACTTGCAGTGTGAGGCGGAAAAGGCTTGTTGCAATTTGTCTGCGAATAAAACGTGTCGTACTTTAATTGGGAGACCTTTTAAAACGATTTTATAAAATACCGCGATTACTGATATACTGAATAGTTTCAGGAAATATTCTTATTCGCTTTCTTGCTGAGAGTTAGATGAGAAAATCGCTGCCACTCTCATGTCTGTAGCATGAGCTCAGCCAGCAGGTTAGCTTAGCTTAGCACAAAGACTGGAAACAGGGGGAAACAGCTAGCCTGATGTGGTTTTACGAGGGATAACGTGGGCTCCTGGAGTCTTTGCTGGCAACCTTACAGTACACTTCAGGAAGTGAGCTAGGCCAGTAAATAGTCAGGCACCTAACCCCTGTTAAATCTACAACGCATTTCAACGAACACACTTGCTGTTAGCTCATTGATGCTTTCCAGGTGTCTGACTTCATTCATGAAACTGGTCTGTGTTGTCAGGTGTGGCTCCAGAAAAACATCTATCTTTAAAATCAAATGGTATTTACATTGGCCATGTGACATCCACTTTTAGCCCTGGACAGCATCTCTGTGCTATTTTTAGCTGTGAGAGGATAAAAGCAGAAGACCGTGAAGCCTGTTGGGAGGTGTGCGTGTGCGCGTGTGTGTGTGTGTGTGTGTGTAAGTGGGGGTGTCAATAATAAAACACCCCTGCACTGAAATCATGGCCCCTCGTGATTATTAATAGCTCAGCATTTTATGAGCATCACACCCTGACAGACGGACACACACGCACACACACACACACACACACACACACACATATATAAATGTCAAATCACCACAGCTAATGTCCATCACCTCCCCCTCACATAAACATGCATTTCCATCACTCCGAAGAGGCAGATGGTCAGAAATGAGCTGGCGCTGCAGGAGAAAGATAACACTCTATTCTGTCTTCTCACACGCCATCCCTTCTTTGGATCTTTCATTTGTGGACTTGTTTGCGCCCCCGTTCGTCTCCATACTCTCTCCTCTATTCTCTCCTTTTCATCCTTCCGTCCTCTGTCTTTGTGTGCATGCGTTAATTTGCCCCGTGCTCCTCTACATTCATACAAACATATGTATTTGTACCATGAGGTCAATGACTGGACTCCCCTCACCTCTGACTCCTTGTAGTGGCGCTCGGGGATCTCATCATAGCAGATGTCCACGAAACACACCTCTGTTTCCTCTTCTTTGGGCTCGCTGCAGAAGATCTGAGGAAAAGGGAACAAGTCAATGTGTGAGGAGGACATTTAAATCATCAGGGGGTTGACGTATGTTGTAGGACGGTGCGTTGTGTTGTCCTGGTACGGTTGTAATGGGGCAGCTTTACACACTTACTGACAGAAAGGGAAAAAGAACATTAAATATTGTATCCTTAAAGTACAAAGCACAGGTGTCCTTCCTTCCGGCTTTAACACACTAAGCAAAAAGGATGTGACTCACTCCCTGTGGTCAGTGATTTCTTCCTGTGTCTGACTCACACAGGAACAGCAAAGCCATGTCGTCTAGTTATCCGCTCCTTAGAACAATTTCACCGCTCCTGCGTCACAGAAAGTTGATCACACTTTTTCCTCAAGCGTTCGCACAGGTGTAGCGGAAGGGAGAAAGGCCAGTGAGAGGGACGATGAGGTTATTAAAAGAGACGAGGGAGAAGAATGGAGGAAGGAAAAGACAGACTGCACAAACGGTGAAGGCAGTGGCAGGAAGTGTAAGCGGAAGGAGAAAACACTTCTAAAACACCTCCGCTCGTTACGATTAGCTGCAAATGTGAAATTATGACCGTCTGTGAAAGCACACTGGGTTTGCGTCTCCCCTGAGCCGCCACTAGGTGGAGCTGTGGCCTCGTGTTTTCAGCCACAGTATGGATCGAGGCAGTATTGCACAACCTTCAGACCCTACTAGAAATGGAGAACAAGCTATGTGCTTTTAACAGTAATAATAACACTCAACAACATTATTATTGTTATGATTTATTGATGTGTAATTGTGCTGTAGCTACATCTTTTGGAAATACATTTCAAGCCAATAGCATTCATGATATTGAACTGAAATGATTAATTGCTTCTGTGATGTCTTTGACTTTTAGCTGTTGGTTGTGATGTAGCTACAGAACCTTAGCAGGTAGTGGATTCTTTATGATTTCTTTATGTTTTACTGTTGATGTTCTGACTGACCTGCAGCTAACTGTCATAACTTCATAATTTCAGTCACATAAATGTAACCAAAGGCTTGATCATACTGAGTAAAAAGTGTCTACAGGATTGAGAACAGAGTAGACTGAGTGCTAAACCTCTTCCTCATCCTTCACTTAATTAATATCAGCAAAGTCTCACAATGAAATGATGGCACAATGATGCCGTCACCCTCCGACAAAGAGAATTCACCAGCTCGGATTTGGTCGGTGTAAATATGGGAAGAAGGAAAAAAAAAAAAAGAGGCAAATTAAATAGACGGACAATTGTGCAACAGGGGACTGGCAAAGGTACAAGACAGGAGGGTCGCTTGAGAAGCCATGCTCAGATCCCTTTAGCTTTGTCAGATGCTTTACACACAATACAAATCTCCCAACCACACGACACGCTGAGCTCTACTCACATTATCATTGCTCCCTTTGTTGTCCTCGTATTTGGTCTCTATGTGGATGGAAAACTTGGGCAGGAAGGAGCACTGGAGGGAAAAGAAAAGACAAGAGAGTGAGGAATTGATATGAACAGATGATAATTACATAGCTTAGGTTTGGACCAGACTGATTGTGTGTCTCTACGTCTGTGTTGTATCGGCCAAACCACACGAGTAGTAATGATTACCACTGTGTAGATTTACTGCACCTCTCTCTTTCTTCTGGAGCACTATACACACATACACACACACTCACACACACACACACACACACACACACACACACACACACACTTTATTGCCTTTGGTAATATTGACTGCCGTTCATCAGCTCTTAAACACAGGAGCTTGATTAGATCAAAACTTAACACTTCCTATTGATACACAACCAAAGAATGCTGGTTACATAAGCTGCTGATGTACAAGCTGGTGTGTGTGTGTGTGTGTGTGTCTGTGAAGGTGTGTGTTATGTGTGCCACAGCAGGACAAAGACAACCGGAGGGATGAGGAAAGAATGAGCTATAGAGGGCAGCGGGAATGAGTCCCAATACCTGCAAAAATAACATTTTTGTCAATGGGCTTTTGGTTACATGCCTTAAGAGATGTTAACGTTTTGTTTTGTAACATAAAATACACTAACAAATACCCATCACTTCAAATTTGAAGCTTTTACCAACCTTTAAAAAGACGGTTGCTAACAAGGAGATAAATGAGACAACAAAACGTCATCACGCCGACTGTCCGTTTTTACAGCCTAAACTCGCACGATCCTGGTTCGTCTGTAGCCTAACATTAGCTTTTTACTTCTGCCCATTACATTGTGACTGCAATTATTGTGCACAGTGCAGTTAGTCAGTGCTGCCAGGTCTCACTGGCCTTGTCACTCTTAGAATGAGACAACATGCAAGGTGTGTGTGTGTGTGTGCATGTGTGTGTTTGTGAGAGAAGATAAACACATACACCTTCATTCTGGAGAAGATAGACGAGACTGAGCTTTTATACAATATCATATTAATCTCATAATACAGTAGGCAGCATTTTCAAGGACTCATGCAGTGGTTACTTGCCAAAGATGTGCTTTGAGCATGTACTTTTTAAACTCCTTTAATCTGCTGTCATTTACTTTATAGCTTTTCTTACAAAAGTTGATTAATGAAATTCCTATGTCTCATGCAGACATTGCTGAAAAAGAGTCTAAAGCCACGTGAGCAGCTGTGTGAGGCTGTATTCAGACACAGCGGTGCCACGAGTTAAAGGTGGAAAGAAGAAAGATTGTGGATAATTGAACTCAAAACCCGAACAAATACCGATTAACCATCCCTCTCGCTCCTCTTTGTTCATCCGTGGCCTTTCCCCTGACCTTTGCACAAGCAGTAGCGTTGCCTGTTGCTGATTGGCTGTAATAGCTGTTTGCTGCTCATTTACAGAGCCAGGGCCGTTACATTGCATCGACAGGTGGGTTCTGTCAATGTCACGTGAAAATCCAGAGGCGACAGTTCGTTTTGAACAATGGCGGCTCCTTAAGAGGTTAGCGTAGATGCTGCAATAGCATCAGTTATATTAGAACCGGAGAGTGTTTCTTCTTTAAAAGAAGAGAGAAGAACGATTTCCAATGACGGGTTCTCAGATGGTTGTGTGTGTAACAAACCATCTGGCGGGTGAGGTTACGAACAACATACACAGATCAGACAGCTAGTTGACTACGATTAGATATTCGATGAATTTGTCAAAAAGTGTATTGGATTAGTGCTGACTGCACCTTTAAATGCTGACATCGGCACACGATCACATTCAAAATGACAAAGTTAACATGCTGATGTTTGCCATCCCAGTTTAGCAAGTTAGCTAAATTGAAGCTAACATTAGCTAATAAGCCCAAAACACAAAGTACAGCAGAGGCTAATGGGAATCAGACATTTGGCCCTAATTATTGGACAAATTCAAATTTTGACCAAAAGATGTTGCGAGTTGAAAAGTCAGATTATCGTATGAGATTATGTCAATTATTATCATGATTATATTATCACAATTCACCCCGGGAGGGACAGGAATATCTATACCAAATGCCATGGCAATCCATTAAATAGTTATGATGATATTTCACTAAAATCACAAAATGTCAACCTGCTGGTGGCGAGTATAGAGAGAGGAAAGCATGACATGAAGACAACCTATTTTAATAGCAAAGTCATTATCATTGCCCCGACCAATCATTATCCTCATCTTTTGCACCATCAACCACCTCTAGCTAATCATGACAAACCATTCCCGAGTATAATCAGTCCCATGAGGCAGCGTGACTACACAAGCACCATCAACACAGACTGTAAATACCAAGTACATCTGGACATCAGTTTTGTTAGAGGCTCTTATCAAAATCATGATGATTGCCAATTTGAGAACACAGGGAGCGGCTTTGTACACCTACAGCATCATTTTTTCAGGAAAGGTTGCTTCTGATAATTTTCGGCAACCTTCCTGACCTCCTTGCAACACCCAGATGTTTCATGCATCTGCACAGTCTCGGGGGAAATGATCGACCAGCTGCTGATTTTATTTGTGCCTCATTGATGTTTCCTTGATGCCTGACATAAGGTGGGCAGATAGCTGATCCTTTAATGTCCCGAGCAAATCATTAGTGCTTTTTCTCAGTGACGGTAAATTAACCAGTCGTACCACAGAGAGCTTTGGGGTTTTTTAATGTTTTTAAAGGAAAATAAACTTGATTAGTTGATATTTGCAGGCGGATCGGTGCAGCAGGGTGGCAGGCGCCGTACCAAACAATCAGTGAAGAACGATCTAGGCCTGAGGGGGAAGTTCTTACATCTCGATTTGACATTTCAACCTTCATTATGGTCCTGAGTTAAACTTGATTTCAGAAACAAGCAGCTGCAATTAGTTTCCTTTACAGGGTGTCTTTGTGCCCCCATATGCATATGATGAGGAGCTCGTACTGTGTATTGAGAAGGAGCTTAAAGTAAACTGGTGCTCCTTTTGCATAAAAAAGAGTCAGTTCATCAGGATTCTGATCAGGATTTATCCTGGACTTCCTGAGTTACTCCTGGCATATCCAAATTGACCCCAATCAGACCCACAACACACTGGAGGTATTAAGTATAGCACTTGGCCTGGGAACACCTTGAGATTCCCAAGGAAGAGCAACATCATGGTTACCTTGTTTAGCATGCTGCCAACATGACTGACTCGGATGGAAAATGAATGGTTGATGCTTATTGTTACTATCTTTTGGGTACCATTTTTAATTGGAT